CATTTCCTACACAAGGACACTGAACTCCATTAAAAATAATGACAGAAAGATTGTCTCCTCTTTTGTATATACGGAGTATATCTGTTTCTTTTTTGGCACATCGGTAAAAGTTGTCCATGGTCAATCACTTTCTTCCTTTTTTTTCTCGTTTATTGTCATGTTTATCTGCGCAGTACTAGTTGTTTACTGATGCTTGGTTTGGCATATTAGGTTGCTTACTGTAGGAGAATGCCACTGTGAAGATGAAGCAAGAAAAGTGGTTGAGAAGATGGTCAATCAGGTCCATGTCGTTGGAGAAGGGTATGGCAATTATTTTTTCATGCTTGATTCGATTGATCTTTTGCGAGTCTTCTTGGTTGATATATCTTGGTGCCTCCAAGTTTATATGTTTTTTTAAGCATAATTTGAATAGTAGAAGCCCAGTTTTATTTGGACATTTTTTTCCTGTTGCATCATTCAGGGCAATTATTTTGTCTAGATTTTTTTTGAATGATATTTCAATGTTCTCTGCTCTATTGAGGATGTACTTCCAAAGTTCCAACTGCATATTGATAATGTCACACCTTTTTATTGCAGCCTCATAGGAAGGGCTCTAATAAGTGGTGAGTACCAATGGATTTCTGATGACATCCCCTTCAGTTTGTCTCAGATAAGCGATGCAGATAACCTAGGTTTATGTCAGGTGCATATTTCCTTTCATGTTCTACCTTGATTAGGTCCTCTCCAGACTGCAGTTTTTACTAGTTTATATTATTATAACTAATACCCCCACATGCGGGAAGTCTAAAAAGCATGTGGAAAAACAAAAGGAAATATTACAGATAAGCAGAAAAGATAACCATTTTTCTTGAAGATTTTGTATGTTGAAAACGCCTTGACACCACAAGCATGGTTGCTGAGCAAATGAACACTTAGGTTGTTAAAATAAACCGCCATGCATCAAGTTTGTCTACATTTTGTTTGGCTAATTTGTTGCAGAAAGTAAGAAGTTTCCTTGTTTTAACAGAGGACGGTTACCTTCTTGTAGGGTTATACTTGGTGGCAACATCAGTTCCTAAAAGCGAATAAAGGTTTTTGCTCTATTTCTTTTACCTTGTAAACATAAACAGCAGAAACCAGTTCATTACTTAAAAATAGTACAAAACTATTGACCAATTACTGAAAAGTACACATCTTCTACAGACTATTGCAGTAGTACCTATGCCTGCATTTGGTGTGGCACAGTTCGGTTCCATGCAAAAGGTTAGTATTCTAGTTTTTGAAAGCAACTTTCACATGATTCTTTTTTTTTTGAACACTTCAACGGGGGGGATTGATCCCCACCTGATTTATTGAGTAAAGCTCAAGTTACATGATTACATGGACTTTGTACAGGGGGTTTTCGCTAGGATTTCAGAGCATCTAGACAGATTCCATAAGACATATTACATAGAGACCGAGTTGATTGCCATTTGGAGAACCGTGCTCCAATCCTCAGCAACTCGCTTGCTTCTCTTTGGCATACGAGCTTTCCAGTTTGCTGATTCAGATTTGCATTGTAGAAAAATGGTTCTGATAGGGATCACTTCCATCTCTGAAAACAAACGCATTTCGGCGTTTCCAAAGCACCCAGCAGCATTGGATTCTACCTCTGAGGAGTAGCCAGAAGAACATCTGAACCCGAGGTGGCGCCGCGTTCTTCCAGATAAAAGCCGAAGAGGGGTCATCTTGATGTCCTTGGGCTTTGAGTAGCCTGTAGATGGCCGAGGTGTCGAGCTTGTCCTTCGTCCGACTGAATGCCGACAGCCGTGTGTCCAGTTGATCCGTCAATTGGGTTTGTTGGAGGATAACCTTAAGCTGCTGCAACTCATCATTTGCCTGCGTTGACATTCGATTTACAAAGCAGCCAAGAAGGTTGGAGTTAATAGCTTGCTGCACCGTTGAATCTTTCCTGGTGCAATGGGAGAAGAGCCGTGGAAGACGATCTTCCAACGCCTCGTCGCCATTCCAGACATCCGTCCAGATAAGAGTTGATCGGCCATCCCCCAATTCCACCGTTGTCAGTGCTTGGTAAAGTGGTAGCAGTAACTGAAGTAGCTCCCAGTGATGTCCAAGATTTTCCCCTTTCATGTTTGCAATATCAGCCTTACCCCTGATCCACTGTGCCCATGCCGATGCATCAGCGCAGTGGAGGCGGTGGACAAGGTTAAGCAGCAGGCAGATGTTGTGGGTGCCGAAGTCCCTGATTCCAAGCCCCCCAAGTTCTTTTGTCGTGCAAACGTTGGTCCAGGCCACAAGACATTTGCCGCCTGAAAATTCTTTGTTGCCGGCCCAAAGAAAGGAGCGGCGGCGTTTGTCTATCTGGGAGATGGTTTCTTGAGGAATCTGCATTGCTGACATGATGTACACCAGCTGTGCATCTAGGACCGAGTTGATCAAAACGACTCGGCCCATGGTATTGAGTAGGGAAGCTTGCCAGGAGGAGAGGAATTTGTCGGTCCTGTCGACATACGTTGAGAAAGCTGAGACTGGCAGTTTCGAGGCCGATAGAGGGAGGCCTAGGTAGTTTTGAGGGAAAGACTGGTGGGCACACCCCATGATGGTGACACAGTCTGCTGCCAAGCCAGCGTCCATGTGAATGGGAACTAAGGTGCTCTTGCTGTAGTTGATTTTTAGACCTGTGGCCTCTGAGAAAGCTTGCAGGATATTCTTCAAAGCTTGGACATCAGCAACATCACCCCGTAGAACCAGCAGAGTATCATCCGCATACTGAAGAACCGCGCAGGGGCTGTCACTGTCCACCGGACTCCTGACTGTCGCTGCTGACCGGATCATAGCCTGAAGAGAGTCAGCCACCAGAAGAAAGAGGTAGGGCGACAACGGATCACCTTGTCGCAGGCCCCGTTTGCATGTAATCCAAGGGCCCGGGCAGCCATTAACAAGCACCGCCGATTTCGATGAGGATAGGATATCCCGCATCCAAGCACACCATCTGTCATGAAACCCCCTGGCCTTTAGAATAGTGTCCAAACTCTCCCAAATCACGTGTCAAAGGCCTTCGCAAAGTCTAACTTAAGCACCAAGGTCGGCAGTCTCCTTTTGTTGCAAGTCTGAATCAGTTCAGCTGCAAAGACGAAAGTTTCAGAGATAGAGCGACCCTTTAAGAAGCCTGTTTGGTGTAGGTCAATCAAGTTCCCTATCTCTTTCTGCAGTCTTCTTGTGAGCATTTTGCTAAGTATCTTGATGGAGCAATTTTGTAGGCATATTGGTCTGAATGCGTCCACAGCTACAGCTCCAGGCTTTTTTGGGATAAGCACCATGTAAGAACGGTTGATCCTCTCTAGCTGCACTTGCCTCTGTTGGAAGGCTTGCAGGAAGGCCATGACCTGCGACTTTATACTGCTCCAGGCCGCCCTGTAAAAAGAAGGCCCGAAACCGTCGGGGCCCGGTGCACTTGATCTGTCCATGGATTTCAGAGCTTCGAAGGCTTCCAATTCAGAGAAAGGAGCGATGAGCTCACTGGACGGCCGCTGTCTGTCATGGAAGAGAGCATGCACATCAAAGTTCCAGGCTGAGGTCCCTGGTTCGCCGATGATGGAGCTGAAAAAGTTGGTGAGAGCTTGTATTTTCCCGTCATGGTTGGCAATCACCGAGCCGTGCACTTCAACCCATCGGATGGTGTTGTTTCGCAGACGGACGGTGGCCTGGGCATGATGAAAGGCAGTGTTTGCATCGCCTTCCCTGATTGCTCGGAACTTACTACGCTGCTTCCAGTAAGCTGCTTTCTCTTTGATTGCTTGGGCGAGGCAGTCAATACAAGTCTTGCGTGCCTGTAACTCATCAAAAGAAAGAGCCCGCTCCTCCTCAAAGGAATCAAGTAAGAGGATAATAAATTTGCAGTTGGAAATTATTTGGCGAGGCGCCCTGAAACGCCGTGCCCAAACCTTTGTCGCGGCTCTAGCCGACTTGAGACAAGCTGCAAGCTGACCCGCCGCATCGCTGCATACACGCGCTTCAGCCCACGCAGGAAGGACAGTTTGTAGGAAATTTTGACGGTGCAGCCAAGCATTCTCGAAGCGGAAAACACTGGATTTCGGAATGGAGGTGGACATGGAAAGAAACAACGGGGTGTGGTCGGATGTTGGCTTTGCCCTGGGTGAGAGTGAAGTATCAGGGAAGGTAGTAGTGTGGGCGAGGTTGACCAGTGCTCGATCAAGCTTGGCTAGGATTGGAGGTTCCTGGCCGTTGGACCAGGTGAAGTTACGTCCAAGCAGTGGGATTTCCATCACCCCCAAGGAGTTGATGGTGTCATTGAAGGTGTTCATAAGAGGGATGTTGACATTGACGTTGTTTTTCTCATCCCCCGACCGGATAAGATTGAAATCTCCGATGATGACCCAGGGGCCATTGATATTGGAGGATAGGTCATGAAGTTCACGAAGAAAGTCGCTAGAGTGACGATGGTCTGACGGACCGTAGACATTTGTGACAGTGAGTGGTCAGACAGCGTGCTGACGAGAAGAGTAGTGAGCGAGTGGTTTTTGAGAGTGAAGTCGGAGCAGGACCAGTAAGATTGGCTCCAGGCAGTGACAATGCCACCCCTGGACCCGACGGTTGGTATGTATTTGTAGTAGCACAGTGTTGAGGGGTAGGAAGGTTTTGATTTTGAACCGATCGATCTTTGTGCAATTTTGATTCTTGGGCGCACATATAACAGTTAAGTTAGCGGAAGAAATTGCATCACGTACAACATTGCATTTATCCGGTCGCCTAGGCCGCGCGCACATTCCACGACAAAAAACAGAGAGTGAACGATTTGATCCGAGTTCGAAGACTCATTTCGAAAAAGATGACACCCAAGTAGCGATCAATAGTTACATGAAAGGTGGTTTTAAGAGAAAAACACGTAACAACGAACAAAGCTTGAGCTTAACACTAAGGCGATATAGCTTGGCCTCATTGGAGCGAGAACCCCGACGGCCGTCGATCCGGGTCCCGGAGAGCGATGGTGGAGGCCTTCATTCCGCAACGTCGTCATCACCACCACGCCGACGAAGCGGCGGAGGAGCGACCGGCGATGGGCTGCCGAGACGAAGCTATGGATCTCCTTGGCGCTCATGGGGATCTTGTTGCGGGTCAGGATGTTACGCTTAGTCACCTGCTTTTTGAGAGCGGAGGAGCAGCCCGCCAACGCGTTCACCAAGGCTTTGCGACGAACAGCTTGGTTTGGGACATTGACGAAGGCGCCCTTCGTCCGTTCAGCGATGCTTGCGCTATGCCGTGAGGGAGGAGGAAGTAGCGTCGCCGCTCATTGTCTGCGTGGGCGTCAGACACACCTGCCCGGCCACGCAGCAGCGTTCCCGGCAACGCGCAGCGTCAAGAATCGCCGGCGATGGTGACGAAGTCAAAGCTGAAAACAGAGGAGGCGTGAGGAGGAGGCGAGGCCGGTGCAGCCTCCTGGAGCTCTTGCCCGCCTTCGTCAGGGACTGGCAGCCCAGGGGAGCTGACAGTCGACCGCGACGGCTCGAGGACGAAATGCTGATTGGCGCCATTTAGGAGACACCGAGCCAGCGCAAGTGCTAGGCCCAGAACATGAGCCGGGTCCCGGGCAGGCATAACAGCATCAGGTGCCGGTGGAGGGAAACGCCGGTTTGTCGGGTGTTGGGGAGGCTGGCGCTGCTGTTCCCGCCCAAAAGGAGCAGGGGGGCCCTGCTGGGGTCCTGGTGGAGGCGGAGCGGGACCGTGCCTGAAGAACGGGGTCAGGTTGCCGTCATCGTCGAGCTGGTCCGAGCGATCCCACACTCGGATGGGCATGACTCGTGCGACCCCACCAAAGCGACCACAGCCAAAGCAAGCAGAGACGTGGACCTCGTAAGGTATCTCCAGCCGCTCATTGACTTCCAGTAGGAGGCGCAGAGGGCCGAAATTGCTGTCAGTGAGACAGTCTGGGTCAATCTCAGCGACGTCGCAGAAGCCGGCAAAAGCTTTCTTGATCTTGTCCTCTTGCCAGTGCTCGTTTGGAAAGTCGAGCACATGCACGTAGGCTAGCCAGGGAGGAATGCGGTAGAAGCGGTTGGAGCATTCGTCCGGGCGTTGGAGGGAGAGTTGAACACCCTCATGGCAGAAAAGACTACCCATGATCATGGTGTCTTCATTTTGGTTGTTACAAGAACAATTTTGTACTAGTTTCCCTTAAGATGCTATCTTTAGATTCATAGCAGATCTCGAGAAATTGCACTTTGAATCATGATTTCACAATGAATAATCAAAATTTCTGAAAATGCACATGATGAGAAAATGTTGTCTTGCCTGCAGTCTGCACTAGGAAATAAAGAAACTGTGCGATCATAATGTGCATACATTCTCATGATTACAACAACAACAACAACAACAAAGCCTTTAAGTCCCAAACATTCATCTCCATTAGAATGGCTAGATTTAACGTTGGCTCGCCACGCCTATCACAACCCTTCTCCTTTACCAGGGCTTGGGACCTGCTATGTTGAGACAACATAGGCGGAGTTCATACATTCTCATGATTACTCAAAAAAAATTATAATGTGCGATCATATCTGCAGTTTGAACAATTTTTTTTTTATTTTTAACTAGGGAATCATAATGTGCATACATTCTCATAATTACTCAAAATTTCACATTTACAGGTTTCTGAAAGCTTAGAGTTTCTGGATCAAGTTAAAGGTGCAACATTTCTGATGGAAAGTCTTTCATGGCCTCCTTCATCCAAAGATGCTTTCATGTACAATCCACAATTTCAACTCGATTCTCCAAGCACTACAGAGGGTCTTGTACGTATTAAGGCTGGACCAGAAAACTCAAGGCTGGAGAACACAATATCCGTAGATTCTCTGAAGAACTTTGCAATTACTTCAACTAATCACTCTCTGCATTGTTTTAATGGTTACACATCCAATAAAAGTTTCAGTGGTCTGAATCCTCACATAGTGGCCATGCCAGTGAACTCCAAGTCAATAAGTACTCTTAAAGTATTTCAAAGTGACAGCAATTTGCGGCACAATAATATTCCAGGAAGTGCTCAACAATTCAAATCTGCTAAACAGCCTGGTTCTAGTTGGGCAAGTGGAGCTACAAGTTTTTCAAATTTTACCAATCTTCAAAGAATAGAGCACGGGCTGTCATGCACACCTAACAAGCTACGATATTGCCTTCAAAGTGAAAAATCATCAAGCTTCCTGGATTCGCACTCATCAATAGTTTCTACAGATGCTGAGCAGAAATCCACTTTGTTTGACAATGACGCTCCATTTGTTCAGAGTGATGTGATCCAAGAGGTTGGTCCTGCTGGATCTACTCGTGCTTGTGAGCTCCATGAATTGCCAAACGAAATATGGGGAGAAACCACCACAGGGGCAATGAAACCAGTCATAAAAGGGGTCAATAAAAATAATGGCTTTCTTGAAAGTACAGCATTTGATCCAGTCATGAATGGGTGGGATGACACTGCCCTACTAGCAGGAAACACTTCACATCTGAGTGCTACTGCCATGAACTCTGTTTCAGGACAGGCAAGTAGTGATCCATTATCAGTTGAAGAGAGAGGGTGTTTTCAGAATCTTTCTTTGAGGAGCTGCTTGGCTTTGACTGCAATGTTGGCCCAGTTATGGATAGCACTGAACCGTTAGCTGGTTTTGTCTCAGGCTGTCATTTGCCAAGGTACAACCTTCAAGATTCATTTTCAGTGTGCAAGGCACAAGTACCACCATTGATACTCCCTTCCAGTAGCTGTACATCCGAAAATGTTCCGATTGGATCATCAAAAGAAACCCCAATGTCACTACAGAATTTATCTATGGATGATTGTGGCAGTTTGAACACTGCAAATTCCAAGGTCAGCCAGGTAAAGAAGCCTGAAGGAGAGAAGGTTGTTAAGAAAAGAGCTAGGCCAGGTGAAAGTACAAGGCCAAGACCAAAGGACCGGCAGCAGATACAAGAGCGCGTAAAGGAATTACGTGAGATAGTCCCAAATAGTGCAAAGGTAAGAATTGACCACAATATCTTTCTCTGTGTTTAAGCTGGTGGTTTCTGGCTGAGTTTTTATATTTTCTTCTGCACAACAGTGTAGCATTGATGCTTTGTTGGATCGAACAATCAAGCATATGCTCTTTCTACAAAGTGTGACAAAGTATGCAGAAAAGATTAAGCAAGCCGATGAACCAAAGGTACGTCACGCTGGCAAATGCATATAATCGAACCTTGTACAACCGAAACTCTACCTTAGTATTCCTTGTGCTGACATTTGTATTCATATAGATGATAAGCAAGGATAGTTGTGCTGTCTTGAATGATAACTCAAATGGAGTTGTGTTGAAAGATGATCCAAGTGGTGGATGCAATGGAGGTGCGACATGGGCCTATGAGGTTGCAGGGCAGACTATGGTTTGTCCAATAATTGTCGAGGATCTTGCACCGCCTGGTCAGATGCTTGTTGAGGTATGGTTCCCAAATCATGGGTGATTACCTAGTGCTGTTTTCGCACATTGCAGAAGTTTGAAGTGATATTTGCTATTTAGCAGATGCTTTGTGAGGAACGCGGATTTTTTCTAGAGATAGCTGACACCATACGTGGATTTGGACTTACAATCTTGAAGGGACTGATGGAACTTCGTGATGGAAAGATAATGGCTCGATTTCTTGTTGAGGTAAAGAAACTCTTATTTTAGGATGTTTTTTTCTTTTATGGTGCGCTTCTCGGATGACAGTCTTGTGTGTTGGTGGTTTTATAGGCAAACAAGAACGTGACGAGAATGGATATATTTTTATCGCTTGTTCAGTTACTGCAGCAGAACAGCCTCAATCGATCTTCGGATCAGCTAACTAAGGTCATAAACAATGGCATTCCATCTTTTGCGGAGCACCAACAACCTCCTGTATCAATTCCGGTTGGCCTTGTTGGGAGATAGCAATTGCCACAAACAATTCTTGTAGACCATATTTCAACAAATGTTAATGGATAAAGCTTGGAGCTCTGACTAGTGCTTGGTGATGGCCTTCAAGTGTTGATAGAAGTGACAACTGTTAAGGATGTAGCGAACGCACATTGCGGTGTCTGAAGAAAATTCAGTTAGAGGATGTACAGATTCTCATGTAACGGGTTTAGGAACATTATTGTTCTCGCTTGTAATTTGGACACTGGTGTGAGGCTGCTTATGTTGTTTAGTTGGTGTGTAGTCACTAGCAAAATCGCCTGTGTTGCTACAGTAAATAACATTTGAAGATTATCACATGTCTGTTCTCTATGGGCCTGATTGGTTGCTCGCACTGACTTTGCAGAGCATATATATAGACAATATTCTGCATACCATTATCCTGCGTTAGACAATGCAATTTGCTGTTGTTTGTTTCGACTAGATCTGGAGTTGTATACTACTATGCGCGTGATTGGTTCCCTGCATAGCTGGTTAGCGTAGTTAGGGGAGCGCAAACGTGTTTGTTTGGTTGGCTGCATTAGCCATGTTCAAGTAACCCCCTGTATACTTCACCCCCTTTAAACTTATGTGCTCTTAGGTAACACCGAAGCCCATGGAGTTAATTTCTCCACCTTCTCACCGGTCACCTTTCCACTCAATGATGAGGACATGTCATCGGTTACTTAAATTACACATTAGCAAGTGTATGAATGGACAATTACGTGTAGCCATGCAAAACTACTCAAAAAAAGGTGAACTCACTCAGCTGAAATTAACTTTAATATACATGAGAATATTATACTACCTAAGTGCTCTACTTTGGTTGTACTTAGGTATACACATAAAGATGAGGATGCTTCTCTAAGTGGGGACGAACTACAATCAACATTGGACCCGTTCGGCTTACCCCATATTCGGCTTATTCGGTTTCTTTTTTTCAATTTTAATGTGATTTTTCTCTCACAACAATTCAGCCAGAACAGTATTTTCAGCCAATTTCAGCCAAAATTCTGCCAGCCGAACGGGGCCACTTAAAAACTTAGGAGGCTCGAGCCACTGGAAATAAAGTGTGAAGCATCTGACTGAAATGAAATGAAAAATGCAAAATTCAAGAAGCATAGAGGGAGAAGACTTCCTCCAGGTTGGGCCACTTCTTCCTCCAATCGCATCAGCCCAGATTTTCGGCCCAAGCCCAACTCCGCGCCACTCTGCCTTTGTAAATTGGACTTTTCCAAAAGAAAAATGGCTCAATTCACTAAATGCGCTCGACGTATCTCTCCCAGTTGGTAGGCGGTGTACAAAAGCAACCCCACTCTGTTTCTAGGCTACCTAATAAACCCTAGAACCCTTTTCCCTTCGTGGGGAAAACACTCTGACTTGTCGTCCTCTTCCCGGTTGCGGCTGCCATCACTATGGCTGCGGCCGCCCTCCGCATGAGACTTTCCATCGCCAGCCACTTCCTCACCGATTTCCTCGTAGATCTCACTTCGGGATCGGTCTCCGACAGTGGGATTCTTTCCAAACCTTCATAGATCCAGGACGTCATCCGCAGCGCCCGTACCCCATTCCTAACTACATATTCGTGCGCTCCATCGCAGGCGACGTGTACAAGAGCGCTTGCCGGTGTCGAGACGCTAATTCCCCTTACCTCCTCAGACCCTAACCTACCACCCTCCTCCCGCGTGACCGTGGATGCACCTCACCGTGGTGGAGATGGCAACAGTTGCGCGCAGTCTGCGCCGTGCTTCAGCAGTCAGCTCTTCGCCACGATTCTACGGTCCTATCCAGCATCATGGTGACAAAGGGAATTCGCCAGAAACAGTTCTTGGCCCAACTCTCCAGCTACTTCATGGTGTGGCACAACAAGGGGGTTCTCTAGCTCATGCAGTTCTTGGCCCTCATCTCCAGATGCTTCATGGTGCAGCATATCAAGGAGATTCAGCACAGCAAGGGGGTTCTCTACCTCAAGTCCCCCTATGGTGCAACGTCAGTCCTCGGCCCCCTCCAGTTACTCAAGTCTGCTTCGACAATGAAGCTGATGTTTCAAAAGAGGTGTGAGTGAGTGCAAAAAAATTCTGGAGGACATGTCAGTTCTGCGTTGTGCCGATACTAACTAGTTGAACCAGCAGTTAAGTGGCCCGGAGTTACATGTATCGTTTCACTACTGCTGGGTCTAATCTAGGCGACTCTCTCAACAAGATTTGCCTAGGAAACAGCAACCGTGACTACTCTATCAAGAAAATATCTTACACTAAATAACCTTATTAGGCTTTATGCGTTTCGTTTGAAGGATTTGGATCCATCTGATGTTGATCCTGATGAAAGTGACAATTACAAAATGAGAATTACAAAGCTGCTAGTGCTGCCTTTTTTACCGTCTGAAGGAATCAAAACCAGACCACGTGGTAGAAATCCTTTCTCCAGCTGTGAAGGACCTATTCAATAAATGGGATAAGCCAGACGACCTATTCAATAAATGGGATAGGCCAACTGACGAGAGACTCATAATTGACCACCCCACCTTACTCAGTTATCAGGGAAAGGCTGCATTCTATCAGTGGTTGCACCTTAGGCTTAACAAACCAAGCAGGTTGATGAGCTGGACTTCAGCAAAGGTGGTCCTGAGGGCGTTTTCAGATGATGCAAGCTTAAACGTCTTTGAAAAACATCAACAACAACCCCTTCTTACTACATATTCATGAGAACAGGATGGTGGCCAAAAGCTTTGTTGTTCCAATGCTCTAGCCTGACCCTACAGCCGCTTCTTCATAGTCAAGTAACAACAAGTCTGCTGTTGTTCCAACGCTCCAGCCTAAACCTGCAGTAGATTTGACTGAGGAAACGGAAGACGTGATGAAAGCTCTAGTTTGGTTTTGGTGAATTGATGAAACCCTGAGTGCTAACTTAGTTTATTAAAGTGATTATGAGATAGGTAGCACATTCCAAGTGGTGAAGCAAATGAAGATCACGACATGATGATGGTGATGCCACGGTGATGATCACTTGAAAAGAAGAAAGAGAAAAACAAAAGGCTCAAGACAAAGGTATAAGTGGTAGGAGCCATTTCGTTTCGGTAATCAAGACACTTAGCGAGTGTGATCACATTTAGGTTCGATAGCAGTACTATTAAGAGGGGTGAAACTCGTATCGAAATACGATTATCAAAGTGCCACTAGATGCTCTAACTCATTGCATATGCATTTAGGATCTAGTGGAGTGCTAACACCCTTAAAAATGTTTATGAAAATATGCTAACATACATGTATAAAGGTGATACACATTGTGTTTAGCACTTGGGAGCAAGGGTAAGAAACTGAGTGCGGACAGTCCGACGGTGCCACCGGCGCCTTGTACATAAAAGATAGGGTTTCACAGAGTGCATCGGACTCTGGTCACGTGGTGACCGGACTCTGGGGAGCAGTGTCTGGTCAATTATAAAAGAAGGTGGTACTCTCAACCTAAGACAGGACGCAGGCGACCGGACTCTGGCTGAACACTATTCAGCGTCCGGCCCTGCTGATGTGGTGGCGCTCAGGGGTTTAATCTATGTTGACCGGATGTTGGGTGAGTCTGGTCAGGGGTGACCGGACGCGTTCGGTCGCGACTGGAACCTTACTGGAAGTGACCGGACGCTGATGCTGCATCCGATCGTGATCGATCGGACGCGTCCGGTCGCAGTTGAGCAGCTCTAGGAGCTCTCTGGAAATGACCAGACTCGGCAGAGGTGCGTTCGGTCTTGGCACTATGCTGCATTCGGTCGTGACTTTACCGTTGGGATCAGGCGCTCAGCATTTGAAGCGAGGGATGACGTGTCGGCCATCCGTTGACCGGACGCGTGCAGGGTGTGTCCGGTCGTTCTGACCGGTGCGTCCGGTCGCCTCGATTTTTCAGCGAACAGAGGAGCCAACAGCTCTATTCTTGGGGGCTAAGCCCCATGGCCGGCTCAAGCTCACCCTCTTGGCCATTTGCATTGACATGGCCAAAGCCCTCTCACTCATCTCCATTATTGATTCATCATTTTTATGAGATTGGGAGTGAATTCAAGTGCATTGCTTGAGTGTTTGCATCTAGAGGCACTTGGTGTTCGTGTTTCGCTACGGGATTCCCTTGTTACTCTTGGTGGTTGCCACCACCTAGACGGCTTGGAGCAGCGAGGATTGTCGAGCGGAGGTTGGTGATTGTCTCTGGCTCCGATCATGATGATTGTGAGGGGTTCTTGACCTTTCCCCGATGGAGAGCCAAAAGGTATTCTAGTAAATTGCTCGTGGCTTATGTGATCATCATCTTGTGTTGGTTGTGCGGCACCCTATTAAAGGTTTGGCATGTGATGTCAATTAGCGCGTGAACCTCCAAGTTAGTGAATCGTCACAACGAGGACTAGCTTGCCGGCAAGCAAGTGAACCTCGGTAAAAATCATTGTGTCATCATTTGATTCCGAGATGATCGGTCTTCATTGGTATTCATTCTTGTGATTGATTGGTTCATTCCTCGACTCGGCGGTATAACCATCTTGTTCGCTCTCTTTATATTACCGCAACTTAGTTGTCAAGCTCTTTACTGTAGCTAGTCGTGAGAGCTTGTTAGTTTGGTTAGTGTGGCTCTTTAGTTAGCCTTTGAGAGCACACTAACTTAGTGTAGTGACATAGCCATTGTGTGGATAGAGACTATATAAACTAGAATTGTGTTAGGTGGCTTGCATTTTTAGTAGGCTAGCTCAACACTCACTTTGCCTCATATTTGTCTAACCGGTTTGCTAAGTGTTGTTGTAGAAATTTTTATAGGTTATTCATCCTCCTCTAGCCATTAGGACCTTTCACATGACAGCAACAAAAATCCAGCAATCTACTTCAGACTCTACCGTAGATTGTTGATCTAACAAATCTAACAGCTGAGAAATTTGAAGAAAAGAAGCAGCGCCAAGGTTAAGCCGTTAAGCATTCCTAAGCCTGCTTAAGCATTTTACAATGTAGCAGAAATTCAAAATGTTGGTCTTG